AGCTAGGCATCTCAAATATATATTAAAACAAAACAAAACTATACTTAAAAGTGATATAAATATAAATAAACCAAATATTAGTTTATTGACTTGATTTAGATGAATAACATGAGTGAGAGCCTCCATGAATTAGAAATATCATCAACAAAGACACTTACTTTTGGGGTTGAAGATTTTTGTCACGCCCCAAAACCCAAATTCGAGGCGCGACAGACGCCATACACTCGTGAGACGAGTCCCACAAGTGCACAAGACTCGAAACTTATCCAATTCACAATCTGATACCATCAAAATCTGAAGATCAAATCTCTTGTAACTAACAATCCATTCAATGAATTTATAAAATCTCCAATTAAATCTCCAAATACAAGATCATGATTTATTTCTAAAAGTCTATATCAATCTCAAAATGGCTAGCCTTCTAACTCGTCACTTCCCGTGGTTTCCCCGTCCTCGGTTTCACTTCCTGAAATGGTGGACAAGGAAAAACTATGAGATAAACTCAGTAAATAAAATATGGATTGCCCTTAATTAAACTTATAGCATGCCAACATATGCAATCACGAAAAACGGATACAATACGGAACAAAATAGACGTCTCCTCTATAGGTCATGGCCAGCGTTTATAAACCTCCCACTGACGGGCACACGATTTACTAGTATATAATCCCCACTAGGAGGGCCACTGAACGAACCGGCTCTATCACTAACATGTCGACATGTGCTAGCGTTTATAACCTCCCCCACTAGCAGGGTCACTAATAACATAACCACATCGGAGACAAAACAGGCTGAAGTTAACAGACAAATCACAATTCACTATCACTTTCAAATCATCAAGACAATTCACAATTACTTTCAAGTAGGCATGCTCAATTTAATGAAAAGCATAAAAATCTCATTTCAAATCAATCATGCTCATTTCTGTATAAAACGGGTTTAGTCCCGCCACCACTTCAAAAACAAATCGAAACATGCTTTAAAAACAGTACGGACATTACCATAAATTTACTTACCTCACTCACATAAACCGAACACTCGATCTGAGTGCTAACTGACAAAACGATCGAAAACCTAATCAAATATTCAAGAATTAATTCCACTATCACAAATTCACACTGAAATCATCATTAGGATCATTCCTAATCACAATGCTATTTCCTATCAATCTCCACATTATCAAATATCTCCAAATCCTTTCTTATATCACAAACTAATCATTTAAATCTCCGATAATGGTTGACCCTCGGGGTGTGAACAGTGCCGTGAACAGTACCCCGTGAACAGTACCACGACGTGAACAGTAACTCTAACTTCCAAAAATGGGCCAAAACACTAGCTACTTCACGGGATTTTCTCCAAAAATCACACAGCAGACAATTAACACTCAATCATATAAATCCCACTTAATTTAAGCTAATTTCCACTTAAATTAAACAAAATCCCACTTAATTTAAGCTAATTTCCACTTAAATTAAACAAAATCCCACTTAATTTAAGCTAATTTCCACTTAAATTAAACAAAAACCCACTTAAGCTACCAACTTCCGGGATAGAAAAATGGAGAAAATGGCTCGGCAAAAACCACTCACACCCGGGATTTCTCACACAAAACATCACAGCAGCTAATTCAAGCTAAATTCTACATAATCAAGCTTAAAACACCTTTAAAATACTACCGGAATTCCTCCCCATTTCCGGCACAATTCGGACACACACAAAGCAGCAATTAAATGGCTAATTTAGGGCTTAAAGAAGTGGCCATCATACCAGAATTTTCCAGCAAGAACCGGAGCTAGCAGGGGAAGAAGAAGCTGGCGGCAAGCTGCAGGAAACTCACGGACTACCCAAAAAAATTGAGGGAAATAAACAGAAATTAGCATAACCCAGCCTAAATCAAGGTTAAAGAGATGATTTCTTGGCTGTGGCTTACCCGAAAAATGCCCAGAAATTCAGACCCACATAGCAGCCGGCGGACAGGGGAGAAGAGCAGAGCAGATCCGGGATTTTCTGGGTTGAGAGGGAAGATTCTAAGCCCCAAATCTTGTGATTTAACAAGAAAGGAAGAGAAATTCATCAAGATCTCACCGGGTTTTTCAAGGGGGAAGAAAGTCGGTGGCTTGGGGGCTACGGTCGGCAGAGGAGAAGAAGAAGAGCAGGTCGTGCGGATAAGGAAGAAGAAAAAAGAAAGAACAACTCAGCCATCCTAATCCTAATTTCCTTTCTTTTTTAAGTCCTTCAACTCTTAAAAATTTGACTATTAAGCCCCTCCATAATATTTTCCCTCAAATAAGTCCCTTATTTAATGCTAAAATATCCCCAAATTTTGGGGTATTACAATTTTAGTTTTGTAGAATGAGAGCTTCCGTAAATTAGAAAATAGCATCAACCAAAACACTTACTTTTGAGGCTTGGAGATTTGAGCTTTGTAGTTTGTTTATAAGCCTAGAGAAGGAAGATTAAGAGTTCTAGTTGTTACAAATATTTTTTTTTAATTTAATACTAA